CGCTGCCTCTCTGCAGGAGGGGTGGCTGCAGAGGTGGAGATTTGGTGGTCCATTGGAGGGAAAGGAAGCGAGCCTCCCTCCAGCACCCAGACCCTGGCTCCGCTGATGCAGCCTGGACCCCTGCCTGACACAGAGACCTGCATGCAGCCCATGAAGGCTCGAACTGCCCTGGCCTCCTTCTGATGCGCATTGCAGCGACTGATTTTAATACAAACGTTTGCCCTCTCCTCCTCCCCCCTGCCCTCCTTCCCCTAGCCAGTGCTGGTCCCAGGCACACGGCCATATCCTGGCAGCAGAAAGCGAACAGCTCCAGGCCGGCCCCAGCATCCATGTAGACGTGCCTTCAAAATGCCATCCCTCTCTTCCTGACTCCACCTGGAGGCCTCCGAGAGCAAATCTCCACCTCTGTCCGGCCGTCCTTGGGTGGCAGGCTGGGTGGGCTGTGCGGGCGCTGCTGGGAACCTGTTGGTTTTCTGCCGCTCAGACCCCAGCTCCGTCTGTCTCTGCGGCTTGGGGGAAGGACTCGGATAGGTAATTTTGACTTCTCTCTGTTCCCACAAAGATTTTCAATTTCTTCAAGCCACCCTGCTTCCACTCAATACCCTTCTGAAATCTAAATTTGGAAGCTAACCTGAATCGATTGCATTTCCTCTGTTTTTGGTTTTGGTTTTTTTTTTAAGATTTTATTTATTTATTTGACAGAGAGAGACACAGTGAGAGAGGGATCACAAGCAGGGGGAGTGGGAGAAGGAGAAGCAAGCTTTCCGCTGAGCAGGGAGCCCCGATGTGGGGCTCAATCCCAGGACCCGGGGATCATGACCTGAACTGAAGGCAAGAGCCCAACGACTGAGCCACCCGGGCGCCCCAATTGCATTTCCTCTTACGACAGAGCTGCCCTGGGCTTCCTGGAGCAGCAGAGTGCGCCCTTCCGACGTGCGGCACAGGGGCTCGATCCCCCACTTCCATCCTCCAGGCATCATCCACAGAGATCCTGGGGCTGGCGTGGGGCAGGTCTAACAGGGAAACACCGTCTTCACCCTGACTTTCTCCCACCCTGCCTGGGGGAAGTACCGAGTCTTCAGAGAATCTTGGCACTTCCCTTCCCTGGTTATGTCATCCTGGCGAAGTCACACAGTGTCTCTGTTTCTCACCTTTCTCTCAGCTCTAAAATGAGAGAAATGAATAATTTCCTCAGAAGGTGACAGAAAGTCACAAGTCATGTGCAGAGTTCCATGAGAATTCTAACGAGAAATCCGTCTGTCCCTAGGTCCGTTGTTCCTAATGCCCACACTGAACCACCAAGCCGCCGTTTCACAAAATATTTTAACACAGCATTATTTTCTCTCGTGTAACTCTTTGAGAGTTTCCACATTTTCTACAATAAATATGAATGAATTTTTTCCTACCAAAAAAAGGAATATAAAACCATATTCATATTATTAAAAAATCGCACATTCAAAGAAAATATACTGAAATGCATTATTCCCCATGTTGGACAACTGCTTCCCTTCCGAGTTCCTCCGAAGGATCTGGAGCCCTTCTGTCAGGAGAATGAAGGACCAGAGCCGCCTCAAGATACACAGGCAAGATGGTGGAGACAAGATGGCTTCCTCACACTCAGTCTCCCCAGCTCAGTCTTTCTAGCTCCCTCCCCCTCACCACATCCATGCAGCCCGACCCAGCCATGACAGTGTCGAGGCTATTTCCTCTGTGTCTATCATTTACCTCCTAAAACTAGCTCCCATCCAATTAATCAACCACATTCTGTACAAGGTGCTGTGGATGATGCCTGAAGGATGGAAGTGGTATTAAAAAGTCCAAAATACTGGCTCAAGCCCTTAAAAAGCCTACCATCCAGCTCTGGACTCAAAGGCAAACCCACGGAGGCACAGGAATATAAGCCATGAGTGCGAAGAGTCGCTGACAAGAAAGCTTCAAGTACCTCGGAGCAGGAAGAGCTCAGACACGTGGCTGGCACAGCCCCACTCCCACCCCCAGGGCGAAGACCTTGAGCCAAACTTTAAAGTAGGGAGGAATACAGAAAGGGAGCAGGGACAGCAAACCCAGACAACTTCTCAAAGGCTGGGGCTGAACTGTGGAGGCTACAATCCGAAGGCAAATGCTGGGCATTCCTGCGAGCAGATGGGTCTGGCGGGAGGAGGCAGAAGGCAGTGGGCAAGATGGCAACCTGGGAGATGCTGGTCGCAGCTGGTTATGGCCCGCCCTGGCCATCAGCCTCCAGGCTTGACCGTGATTCCTTAGGAAAGAGAAAGCCACTAGAAGCTGGGCCCTTGGGGAGTGGTGCTTCCCACGCCGACAGCAGGAGCCACGCATAATCAATGGAATGCCAGCGTGAGAGACCAGGCCCGGGGCACGGGGCAGAGCGTACTGCCCAACAGCCAGGGTCAGCAGTGGGGGCCTTGCCAAAAGAATGGGAAAGCAGGTGCCAGACAGAGTCTGGAGGGGAAAAAAACTAACTCATCTCCATGTGCTTTCCCTGCCAAATCAGCATCTCCACTTTCTCTTTAAAGTATCCTTCACGGCCTATAGTAAGAAAAATGCGACAGTAACAACGACCTGTAACTGTTTTTCCAAAGGCAGGATTCGGGATGTGGGCACTGAGAATCTTAGCAGAGAGGCTGATTCTAAGGAAGCCTGGGGCCTTGCTCCTACGGTATGCCCAGTGCCAGGCTCTCACAGGCCCGCCATTAATTCCTGAGGAATAAAGAATGCCAAGGTCAAGGTTTCTTTATCCTTCAGAAGCACGGGATAGAGAGAGGCTGCAGAGCAAGTGGACACTGGAATCCAGGCCCCAGGAGCCCTCGCCACCCTCGGCCACCCTCCCCCTGCAGCAGGCGGCCCCAGCGGGCCTACTGCATCAACAGGTGGGACGCACAATGCCCAAGGCAAGCACAGGCATGGCGCACTGGCAGGTGGGGTGGAGAGGAGTGTCCTCTCCATTTCCTGACTCCTCCCTGACCTCTTCCGCCGGGCTTGCCATCACTCCAAATTACACTCAGCAGCCAGGAAGATAGCACCCACCTAGTCGCAGCTAGAATTCCTGGCTTGCCCGGGAAAAGCTCTCAAGCCAGTCTTCCTACCAGCTCCACCTCAGAGGCAGCAAGTCAAGAAAGCTCCATCTTCCCACCCCACAGTGCCCAACCCAACCCTCCCCCAGTGCCAGACACATCCCTCATCCCCCAGGGAATTGCTTATATCACAGGAGAGCACACATGCAAAGAAACCCAACACCTCTCCCCTTCCCCCATGTGAAGCAGGCTTTTGGCTTCTCAGAAGTCCCCACCCTACCCCAACCAGCTGGCACTGAAAGGCGAATGGATTTTCCTCTTTGCTTGCTCAGTGTAGGCAGTGGGCCACGGTGCAGGCCACAGCTAGGCCAGGCACAAAGTCTCAGGTCCCCACCCCAGATCTACTGCATCAGAGACTCTGGGGCTGAGGTCCAGAAGCCTGTGACTTAACAGGCCCTCCATCTGACTCTGACACATGCCAAAGATTGAGGCAGACTGGTGCCGCAGCTAAGAACCTCAATTCCGGAACAGACCATCCAAGTTCAATTCCCAGCTCCACTCCTCAGCGGGCAGTATCAGCACCTATCTCCTGGGGTTGCTATAAAGACTAAATGAGTCCCTGCATGTCTGCGCACTTAGTAAATACCATTCACATTTTATTGCTCCTCTTTGGAGCATGTGGGACTGTGGCACGACTTGTGTCCCTACGTGCAGCCTTACAGTGAGACCCAGGCTATCTTGCACTCTCTCTTTTGGGTCCTATGGCTGGGTCTTTGGCAGGTATCTGGGTAGAATCAAAGGCCCACCCCATAAGCTTCTAATTTGTCTGGAAACAAACTGGGGATTGCAACTGCCCAGGGCAGATACAAGTTCAAAGCATCCCCTGGACACTTGTGACATGACATCAAGAAGACCAAGGCGATATTTCAGAGGGTGCTCGGAGATCTGACCACATCCCACCTAGTAGGACCCAGCAGGGATCACTGGGGAGCAAAAATTATACCAATTATTATTATTGTTATCATTATCTTTACGCTTATTTGTAGTTCTGGAATTATCATGAGAACACCAGTTAGAAGCTCAGGAAGGGAGGTGGCAGCCTTGGATCTGCCTTGGATGCCAGCCCTATGGACTCCCACTAGCTGCTTGTACTCAAGTAGGTGATTCGCACTCTGACCTTGGGGACAGCAAGTGTCCAATGACCCATCAGTCCCTGGGCCAGATGTGACCAGGGCACATCAAAAGTCCCCCCTTCTCCAGAAGCACTGAGGAGAACGTTTTACATGGGACAGATTCTGACAACTGCCATTAATTGGATGGCACGCCTGGCTTTGCTGCACTCTGAAACGCTGCTTCCCCAACCCACCAGGAACCGTAACAATCGCCCTCAGGCAGCTCTCCGGCGAGAAACCGGGTGTGTTTTTAATAGCAGCCTCCACGGAGGCAGCAGGAAGGGAGGAGTCCTCATTATTAGCTGTGCAGCCCGCCTCCCGGAGAGATGACATAGCCATCCAACTTACTACCGAAGCGCATGAGCTCCAGACCTGAGGCCTTGACTTTGCAGACAGTTAAGCCCGCCAGTGTCCCTCCCCGTCTGACCCCACCAAACGCTAAGCTGCACGAACTACTTCCTCCAAGTCGGCCGGCCTGAGCCTCCAGTCCCATTTGGCCGCGCGACTAGTTTCTGCACTCGGGCTCGAGTCGCCAGGTGGGAACGGGGAGCCAGCTGGGCTGACATGTTTCCACAATAAAAGCAAACTTACAGCTGGGGCACAGAAGAAGCAGGTAATTCTTTCCAGCAGCCCCGGCCTCCTGGCCAAGACAGGGCAGAAAGGGTAAGCGGGAGCCTGCGGGAGCCAGGAAGTACCGGCTCCCCCCACCCCTCCCCGGCACCGCGCGCAGGGCCCCAGGGGTTTCCCGGGGCCCGGCCCGCCCGCTCAGAGCCCCGTGGGCGCCGGCGCGTGTCCTTACCATTCAGTTGCCGATAGACGATGTCCTCGAGCAGCGAGAGGCGCCTCAGGACCGCATCCTGGATGGGGCTGGCGCTGTGCGCGCTAAGGTTGGCCGCCTCGGCGCGCGGCCGAATCTCGTGGAAGGCGTCCCCGCTGCGCACCGAGATGGGCCGGCACTTGGCCAGGAAGAGCACGAAGCCGGCCACCGCGATCAAGTTCAACACCAGCAGCACTTTGACTCTTCTCAGTGAAGCCATCAAACACGCCCGGCCGGCCCTCGCCCCGGACCCGCGCCCCCTCGGGCTCCGGCGAGGCGCGGGGCAGCCGGGGGCCGTGCGAGCCTCACACTCCGAACGGCCGGCGGGGAGCCCAGAGGCTCCCGGCCCCGCAGCGCGGATGCTCCGGCAGCGGGGACGGCTGGGAGGACGGGGCGGTCAGGGGGGAGAGCGAAATCGCTCACATGGAAGCTCTCGGTGTGCAGAAGTGCTCCCAGAGACGCCTGCTCAGTTCACGGCGCGCGGCCCTTTCCAGGCGCCTCCGCTTCTCGGCGAAGGGCCGGGGGCCGTGGTCTCTCCGCGGCACCAGCAAGTGGCTCGCCGCTGGACCTCGGGGTCGCCGGGAGCGGGGCTGCCCCGGCGCCGCGGCGGGAGCGGCGCGCAGGTGCCGGGCTCAGGGTTTGCCGCCCGCCCGCGGGAGAGCGCGCCGCGCCTCGGGCCGCACGGCCACCACCCTCGTCCGCAGGCGGCCGTCGCGGCGCGCGGCCCGCGGTCTTCAGCCCAGGACCCGCTCCCCGGGGCGGGCGCCTTTGTTCCGCTCACCGACCCGCTCCATCACGCCCGGCAGAGGGAAAGCCCGCGCCCGGCGCCCGCATCCTCGCGGCTCCGCAGTCACGCTCAAGTCTCAATTACTCTCAAAGTGGGGGCAGCACTGGGGGGCGGGCCGAGGGGCAGAGCGCGACGTCCTCTCCGCCCCTCGCGCCGGGGACACCCCACCCCGCCACCAAACTCACCGGCGCGCACAGCGCCGCGGGCGCCCGGCCACGTTCCAAGCCCCAGCCCCACGCAGTGAGCCTTCGGGGCCTGCCGGTCACAATGGCCTCGCTCCGAGCTGGCGCGTCGCGAGGCTGGCCGGAAGGAGGAGTCGGACCTCAAAAGTCACAGCAGTTCTCTACCCCCTCCTAAAGCGTCGCGGGGAGCGCGGCGGCGCCCCCTCGCTCGCCAGAACGGGCAGCGCCGCTCGTCCCGCGCGCCACGGAGCCGAACGCCGAGTCTCCTAATTGGCGGACGCCGCGATACTGCCGCTGCGGCACCGAGAGCCCACACGGCCCTGGCCCCGGCTTGGAGAGCCCCGGAGGGGACGCGCAGGTGGCGGCGGAGGGCGGGGCGCGGCCCGAGGGGACCGGCTGCGGCGCCAGCTCCTCCGCCGCCGCCCCTGGCCACCACTCTCCCCGCGAGCCTGGCGGCCGCCGCCCCCCGCCAGCTCCCAGGCGCACAGCTCCCCGGCTCGCCGGCTCGTGCGCGCGCACCCGGAAAGGGTGGGGGCGCCTGGAGAGTAGGGCCCGCGCGGGATGGGGGCAGTCAAGTCATGTTGGCTGCTGCCGGCGCCGGAGGGACCCTCTGGTTCTCAGCACTCCCCGAGCTGGCGGGTTCGTTCCATCCTGGGAGGCGATGAAGACATCCCTTTCTGTGTGCTCGCAGCTCGGCTTTGCGTGGCCGGGAATGGCTAGAGGGAAAATCTGGCCTGGAGACTCGGATTCTGTTACTTTGGGAGCCAGGCCGCGCGTTAGTGGGCTGGGGCGGGGGGGGGGGCTCTTCGTGTGAAAATTCTAACCGTCCAAGTCACAGTGTTTGTGCCCACCCACATTCTGTCATAAGAAGCATATTCTGGCTACTGGATTTCCGCGACCTCTTTCTCTTTCCAAAGGCAGGCGCTTGAAAGGCTGGAATTCAAAGACCCTTCTTGATCCACTTAATTCCTTGGGCCTAAAAAAGAACCCAGACTGCCAACTAATAAAGATCGGGCCCATAAAGGCCAATGAATCTGGTGGTTTCCACCTCACCGTTTCGATCTCACTGAAGTTTTTCTTTCACTCTTGGGTTTTGGGGGTTTGGGCTTTTCTTGCTTATTTATTATTTTAACTCGATTTTTTAACAGAAAAGTGCATAAAAAATATAACAATTTTTAAATTTTTTATTCCCTTGGAACTCGGTGCCTGGGTTCAATCGGATCTTCCTGGGTTTTTTTTTTTTTCCTATATCGCCTACAAAAAGTGAATACAAAAAGAGTTAAATGAAAAAGCCACATATAAAAAGCCCCAAGGGACCATTTCTAGCCACACGTGTTGGGCAAGAAAGGAGCCAAGGGCCTAGAAACCTGAGTTATTGGGTAGCTGTGACATGACAGGCACCAGGGCCGTCAGGGTCCCCACAATATCTCACCGAGGACCCAGATGGAAGCTAGCACAATCAGTGGAAACTTATGCAAAAATCATTTTCCAACATTTACTCAGCGGCAAGACTGAAGCCAGGGAGGCTGAGACACAGGGCTAGGGTCCCCCAGTAATGAGTGGCTGTAAACGCAGGTGGGTCTGACTCCCAAACATGTGCCTATGTGGGAGTAGGAGACAGGAAGCAAAGTAGAGGGAACACCCTCTGAGCAACAGAGATGTTTCCACGTAAGATGCAACTTCAGAGAGATTTCTTTTTTCCCTCCGAAGCAGCAGAGGTCCCTGACCCCAATTAACTGATGATCTTATCATGCTTCTTTTTTTTTTTTTTAAAGATTTTATTCATTTATTTGAGAGAGAATTAGACAGAGCATGAGAGGGGGGAGGGTCAGAAGGAGAAGCAGGCTCCCTGCCGAGCAGGGAGCCCGATGCGGGACTCGATCCAGGGACTCCAGGATCATGACCTGAGCCGAAGGCAGTCGCTTAACCAACTGAGCCACCCAGGCGCCCCCTTATCATGCTTCTTATAGGCTTTTCTCCTCCCCTTCCACAAGCATCCTGGAAAACTTCTACATTCCTAAATGACATCTGACACGCTGAAGTCCATGAGTGACCCACTGTCAGGCTCACATCCTGAGCCCTATCATCACAGAGAAGTGATCCACTCCCACAATCCTGCACGAAAATTTCCCACTCACATTTCCAAACAAACGTATTCTCCAGCCACCAGCAACCCCTGTCTCCCTCCCAAGTATCCAAGCCCTTCCATCCCCTCTTTTTTTTAAATAGACTTATTCTTTTATTTTTTAAAAATGAACACATATACACATTCATATACTCCCCCTCTTCATTCTTTATACATTTTTTCTATTTTCATAAAACAAGACATCCAGGAGAACACTCCCTGACTCTATGTAGAGGGTCCCCATTTCATTTTACCATGCACTGCAGCTTTAATCATTATCAAGTACCCTTTTATCTCATAATGCTTTCTGATCTGAATTCTACCTTTATGAAATGCCAAGACTGACACTCCTACTTTCTTTTCTATTTGATTGATTGATTGATTGATTATTTATTATGTTAATCACCATACATTACATCCCCTTCCATCCCCTCTTGAGTTCCTTTCCTATCCTTCCTGGTTACTCTTGAGTTCTGATTACTTGTTTATTTCAAACACTTTCCCAGTAGTGGCCACAGTTCCCACACTCTCTTGTGCGTATGCTCCCACTCTCCCCAGCCCAGCCATCTCTACCTCTGAATTAATCTCACCATCTTCTTTCTTGCACCCACGCCTCCAAGCAAGAGAGTGCGCCATCACCCAAAGCTTGGAGATGTTACCAGTTGGTGGTATCTAACTTGAACTGGATCCTTAATTCTTAATTCCATGATCCTAACCAGCTCCGCCCCCCGAGAGGTGCCCAGGGTAGACTTCAGAAGTCCATAAACACCCCTCAATCCAATACAAAATGTATATGTGTGTGTCACATGGGCATTTTTCTGAGGGGGAAGACCCCCAACCTCCATCAGATTCTCAATGGTGGTCAGAGACACCAAAAATTTAAAAACCTGCCTGGAATATGTTGGATATGCAAAAACATAATCAAGTCAATATTTATTGTATGCCAATAAAAATCAGTGGCTCAAGGCACACCAGGTTGGTCGAACTCTCTAGTTGTTTGCATATGTTGATGGAAGAAAGAAGACTCTGGACAAAGGCCAGCAGCTTGTACGGATGAAGGTTGAACTAATATGAAGGAACTGAATTGAACAGGTTCTGCCTGCTGAGGAAATCATCAGGCCTGGAAGGAACACACTTAGCCATTTAAACCACATACACAGAGACAGAAGGACCCACTTACAGTCCTGGAACCAGAGGCGCCCAGAGGGGTGGGTGAGCTCCCTCAATCAATGACTGCCATCCGTCTACACACCACTTGCCCCAATCCAGCTTGTAAAACCAACAAAACAACACCTCCGAGCCTCTGCGACCTGCTCACCAGGAGATCCTGGCTCTAGTCCACCTGTTACCAAGAAGCAAATCAGTTCTTGACTTTTGGAGGGCTCGAAAAATCTTTCCCAATCATAAAACTCAGTTAAACTACAGATACTTTTAAAAAGAGGTTTATCGGCGGGGCGCCTGGGTGGCTCAGTCGTTAAGCGTCTGCCTTCGGCTCAGGTCATGATCCTGGGGTCCTGGGATCGAGCCCCGCATCAGGCTCCCTGCTCCGCGGGAAGCCCGCTTCTCCCTCTCCCACTCCCCCTGCTTGTGTTCCCTCTCTCTGTCAAATAAATAAATAAATAAATCTTTAAAAAAAAAAAAAGGTTTATCGGCATGTTTGTTGGTTTGTTTAGCCAACTGAAAGGAGGGTGATAGATGTATTTCTGTCCACCGTTCACGAAGGATTTCAATTCCACATACGTTCTTCACTCATCCACCGAGGCTCACATGATGCGCAACGCTGACTTCGTTGTGTCACCTTTCCTTGCCTGTTAAAAATCTCTCACATCTCACCCTGGTCTGTCACAGAAGCTAGAAAGAGTTAGAGGTTCATCAGGAAGAACAGGGGCTCATCTCTCTACAGAGGTTTTGCCAAGCTACTTACTTTTGCTGGAAGCAAGGGGTGGAGCCATCATTTTTCCCATAAAACCCTGAGCAACAGAAACTGGGGGTTTTATTTGATTTCTTAATAAGATAGAATTGACATATATCATTATATTAGTTTCAGGTGTGCAACATAATGATTTGCTATTTGTGTATGTTGTGAAACAATCAGCACAGTCTGTCACCTGTCACCATACAGAGTGACAGGTACTTTTTCATGTGATGAGAACTTTTACGATCTTCTCTCTCGGCAACTTTCGAATATACAATACAGTATTAACTACAGTCAACAGTCAACATGATGTACATTTACATCCCCGATGATTTATTTACTTTATAACTGGCAGTGGGTACCTTTGGACCCCCTTCACCCATTTTGCCAATGTATCGCCTATCCCCCTGCCCCTGGCAACCACCAACCAGTCAGGAGTATGTGGGCTTCCAACATGGGCACACGAGGCAACCACTGGGGTACAGGAAGAAAGTATTCAACTGCTATCCAAAATCAGAAAGAAATCAAAAGCTACTGATATTTAATATATGCAGAGAGTCACACATGTACATAATTTCTAAAGAACCGCACATATAATGGGCATACACGTCTCACATCTTTTCCTGGTAGGGGCCACCATTAAAAAGCAATGGTTGTCTATTGGCCAACTTGCATGGAAACCCTGGGGTTACATTTTCACTAAAATGCTTCCTTTCTATTAGAAGTTGGATTCCTCCTAAAACTCAAAGACCATTTTAAGGCCCAGCTTAGCCTCCCAGCCCTCTGGGAAGCTCTATCAGAGAACTCCGGACGCCTTTCTATTGACAAATTATCCACAGATTTATCTACCAATCTACAAAGTACCTGCCTATTCACTGATTTCTTCAGTAATTGAACATTTCTCAAGTACTTATCATGGACTGTTGTGTGCCGGGAATTGTGGGGTTTATTGTCTAGGAGGAGAGGTAAGTCACAAATAAATTATAACACCAAAATTATTGAGTTGCACTTAGGAGAAATAACCCCGCCTAACCATGGGGATCCGGTGTCCCGGGCCTGTTTGTTCACAGAGTCACAGGGCTTCAGAAGGCGAAGGGCAACTAGCTACTCTGGGGACTCCCCTTCCCTCCTCCCTGCCCCTAGGCTCCTTCTTATTTTTGCTCAGGGACCCCAAACCCCTCCCAAAGACAGCTCCATCGAAAATGCCAAGGTCTGGAAATGCTCTTCTCAAATGTACATGGACCTCACTCTGGTGCTTTGTATGCCCAAGCTTCTATTTTATTTATATCTGCAACTTTTTTTTTACTATGGCTGACACACAATGTTACATTTGTGTCAGGAGCACAGCATGGTGATTGGATAAGTTTCCACATTATTATGTTCACCACAAGCGTAACTATGGTCTGTCTCCATACCATGCTTTTATAATACCATTGACTATATTCCTTAGGCCATTTTATGCCTTTTATTCCCATGACTTACCCATTCCATAACTGGAAGTCTGTATCTCCCACTCCCCTTGACCCATTTTGCCCACCCCTTCTGGCAACCATTGGTTTGTTCTCGGTATTTATAGGTCTGATTCTGCTTTTTGTTTGTTTATTCATTAGGGGTTTCTTTTTGATTCCACAGATGAGTGAAATCATATGATATTT